GAGAATTTTTTTATTTTGTCATTTTTGTGAAGTTGGCGGCCCAGCGGCCTGGCAGTCAAAAATTTTAGTGTGCTGGAAATGTTATTTTAACAATAAAACGGCATTTAATGAAGTTTTAAAGATAATAATTGGTATTTAAAGGATATATAAAAAGAATAAATCACTTTAAGAGAATTTTTTTATTTTGTCATTTTTGTGAAGTTGGCGGCCCAGCATCCTGACGGCCAAAATTTTTAATGTTATTGAAATGCTATTTTAACAATAAAACGGCATTTAATGAAGTTTTAAAGATAAACATTGTTATTTTAAGGATATATAAAAAGGAAAAATCATTTTCAGAGAACTTTTTTATTTTCTCATTTTCCATCGGGAACGAGCCTTAGCGTTTGGATCTCTCTATCCTCTATCCAACCCAATGATAGCTTATTTATCTCACTCACCTGGACACACAAGAAATCAGTGAAACTACTGGCTACGCGCATTACAACGTACCTTGTTTTGAAAAGCGGGTGCTTAGGCGCCTGACTTTCTATGATTAAAAAGCATTATGTACGTCCGCAGAAATTCTACTGACCAAGTTTATGTGTGATCCCTCATCAAAAAGCAAGGTTATCATGATAAAACACATCAATATTAAAGTTGGAAAGTGTCATAATATAAGTGTTTATAAGGAATTCAGTCGGTTGACAAAAAGTGTTTATCGTTTACAAAGCTTTTTCTACTTATTTGGTTAATTAGCTTAGTAGGAACGAAGGCCTACGATGCATGTCAGGAAGGTTTTTTTAAACCAGGCTCATTTTGTTTTTGAATGTCTAAATTTGAAAAAAATCTATGTTCCCAGAAAATCAAGGGTTCCCACGTTGTCCAAATTCAAGATGGCCGCCAAGATGGCCGCCAAAAATTTAAGAAAATACCATTTTTACTTAAAATACAAATACAACACTTCATTTTCACATTTTAAATTCATTTATTCATCAAGATGATCGGAATTACATAGAATTCCTGATATATAAGCAATTTTTTTACTTTAAAAAGCATAACTTTTTGAAAATTGCCTTAAAATATGCTTAAAAAGGGTAAAAAACGTGTTTTTTTTTGCATTTGGCTGGTTCCAATTCGGCTCAGAAAATTATTTAACCTCTTATACAATATTTTTTCACATTTTTTTACAGATACATGATAAAGAATTTGAAAAAAAAATATTTAAGTCTAGATAAAAAGTTAAATTTTAGTTTAAGGGACTATTTAAGTGGGTGGGGTAAGTGCCCATCCATTTTGTGAAAAATACGCCATGTACTTAAAATACATCAAAAAGTATATAGGTCTTCTACAGCAATTTCTATGCATGGTTTTAATCATTCTTGAGATTTCCTAATCTATTTTTTAGTAATTAAGGGTGCAAACTTATTTTTTCACACATTAAGGTGAACTTTTTGCCTTAAAAATGGCCGAAAATTTCATTTTTTTAATGAAAAGCCCATCTCAATCTTACCTTAAAATTGCATAAATGCTCATTAAATTGTTGAGTTTATCTTTAATCATCAAAATACAATAGCATACAAAGATATAAATATTTTTAAAAGTACAGATGTCAGATTTAACAAAGTGCAGCATAAAAAGTGGGTGGGGTAATTACATACAATTACATGAAAAAAAGTCAAAACCTGCATAATTATATATACAAGTTATGGAAGTCTTCTCTGTCAATTCCAAAACATTATTTATCTTTCTTGTGACATTTCCATATTTTCTCAGTAATTTATTAGAAGTAACATTTTTTTTAAAAACTTAAGGTTAACGTTTTTGCAGCAAAATTGGCAAAAACACATTTTTATGGTAAATGTCTCTTAATCGCGGGAACGACTTATTTCTTAATTTACCGTAACTCTCAAATATTCTTCCATATATCGTCCAATGTGAACATACAACAATAAAATGAAGAAAAGACATTCTTAAGACATTCTTAAACAACAGAATATGCCACATTTAACTGTTCACAATGCCCATCTCTAAAAGTGGGTGGGGCAATAATCACCAATGAAATAAATACATAGATACACAGTTATTCTCGAACAATTCACAATGATGCTTTTGACCATTAGTTAACATGTTTGTATACTTTAGTATTAATAGTGCGAGGGATATTATACAAACTACATTTTCCTCATTTCGTTTTGTGAGGATTTAGGAACTTATCAATTTACGTGAACTTTTTAATAATTAAATGTAATGTTGACACATTGTAAAAAAAATAATAGAAAAATACCCTCAGTTGCATTATATAATTACATTCATGGGGATCAAAATCTATTTCTGAAACGTTCGGATTATAACTATAGTAATTAATATCAGTAAGATGTTGACTCAGCATAACACAATATCTTACAAATACACTGAGTAGAAACAAAGAATTCATTAACGTGCCATACATTCTGATTATGACAGCTATATTCATTCGTCTGAAAAGACAGACAATAAATACAAATCCACAGATTTATAAAAACACAATCAACTCAATTGGAAGTATAACTATCACCAATCATCTCACTACATAACTAATCTCCCACAAAAGTTTACGGTTACTGAATGTCACTCATCATCATCTGACACTGAAATTTCTAGACAACCATCATCATCTTCTTCTTCCATCTCTGCTTGAACATTTTCGACTAGGTCAACTAACGTTGGTGGAAGAATGGGACCCTCAGCCCACAATGGTTCTAACACTTCGTTCTTTTTGGTCACCCTTGCCCTTCATCATGTGGTTCCGGATGTTCTATCACTGGTGTATGAGCATTTTTCAAGATGCCGAGACGATGGTTGACTCTTCTGATGTGTTGGCATAAAATTATCCTGGCAAGGTGGCAGTTTGGATAATTCCACCTTTGACTTCATGGTCAGCTGTTCGTCGTCTCCTACCATTTTCTTCAAAAGAACTGCCCTACATGTGTTCACAGACCTCTCCCTTGGACACCCATACATCACACAGACAAACGCTTCTAACATCTGCATAACATCTTCTTCAACTGTCCAAGTATCACCCAGCATCTACAGACATATCAGTTAAAAATAATGACTATTATACTTTTATTTTACTGTCATAATTTGTTAGAAATGTGTTACTGTTTCAGACAATTCATTTTTTTAATCAGTTACAAACATTTTACCTGAATGTTTTGTGGTATTTTTAGGATTACATCTCTGCAGCTTTCTGAGCGGTGTGACCTTTCCCTTGCCCTTAAATGCACTTGTGACATCTTCACCGGTGAACACATGCAGTCCTAGTAAGAGTCTCACTGTATTCAGCACCTTGTGAGTCTGCCAGCTCACTAATATTCACCACCTAAGATGACAAAGTAGTTTATGCATTCAAAAGTTAAATATGTATTGAAATTTAATTTATTTTAAGTTTTAATTCTTGGTATATTATATATACATTCTGTTAGATTAAAAAAAGTATATACTGTTGGAATAATTACTTGGGTACATTAATGAAATTCAGTAACTAGAAATTAAAGATAGGTTTAATGCATGGTATATATTTTTTACCTGTCTCTGTTTCCTGTACAACGTCGAGATAAACTGTCAGTGGTACAGACTGTGCATGGAACAAGGTAATGAAGAATAAGTCAGAGTCGGGTGTACGCACAATAGCTGACTGGTAGCCAATCGTTGATGCGTAGTGCATGTACAAAACTACTCTGGCATCTGTCTCTTTCTTGGTTGGACACTAAACTGAAGATCTCCTCCGTTCTCACCTGAAGCAAACGAAAACAAAAACGACCACTAGATTTTTGCCTGGCACTTAAAAATACCTGCAGTTTTTTGTATACAATAACTAAAATATTAGTAGGTAACATTACAAGTTTATGTAGACTGTGGTATAAAGTTTAACATTATTGTAACTTACATCACCATTTGTCTTTTTTAACTGTAAGCCCTTCCACCAGACGACCACCCGACTGCTGTTCCACATCGAGTCTAGATCTCGGATGGCTGCTGACTCACTGCCCAAACACCGCAGAAATAAGATTGCATAATTGTGTCTTATTGTCATCGTTGGATAGGAATTCTTTAAAGTCCGCTGGTCTACGGGTTGCAGGTCCATCAACGATGAATTTTCGACTGCAGCCTCTGCGCACTCTCTCCTGTGCCTTTATAGAGTTCGGGAAGTAGCTGTCTTCCTCTTTAACTGAACTTGATCCCAACTTGAAACCACTGGCAATTGCTTCTGGCACAGTCATTTCGGCACTAAATACCACACTATGCATAATGCAACCAGCACCTTTCTGTTTAGTGAAAGCAATTTTTTGTCCAATAGGATCCGACTGCAACCACACTTTCAAGGTTCTATTGTTGTAATTTATATTGGGGAAGCCATTGTTATGCATTTCGGTTATGTACAAGTCCCTAACCGAGGCTAGAGGAATTACTTCCTTTTGTACAACCACTTTTTGTGAAATCATATCACGTACCGAGGCGACTGTTGGGCAAGGTTTTCTGACGTGTGGGAATTTTTAACTGAACCCCCATACTTTGGCGCTTAGAAAGGTTAAACACTTTCAATTCAAAATCCTTCCGACATGAAGTATGAAACATTGCCTCTCTGGGCCACCAGGTCTTCACCTTGTACTATTATTCGATATAAGGCAAAATCGCCCACCTCAAAAGCCTGCGACTCAATTTGTTGCGCATGTTGTGTTTGTGAATTGAACACACCGCTCTGTATTTGCATGTTTCTTTGGTTTCACTTCCAACTTTTTACAGAAGATGCATTCTGGTGGAAACTGATTACTACAGTTAGCAAAAATTCTTGGTGAATGGTGTTTTGAGAATGTTTTGTACATTCTGCTTTACTTAACCTATCTAGGTTTTGGTAAAGGCCTGGTAGCACCCACGGTGGTAACCAGTGATGTTCAGGTCTATTCCACATAATGAGGCAGGAATGCTCTTGCATATGTCATGCATGCGATGTGGTGAGTCACATGGTTCAAGCTAATCGCTTGTTGCGAATTGAGTGCAGCTGATCTAGTTTTTGTTCAGCAGAGACTTTTAATTTTGTAGAATTTAGTGTTACACAGTCACCATGATTGCTAAGTCCACTGTTGTGAATAATGCACCTAAAGTCTGTGGGTATATTCAGCTGCTCGTCGTACTTCCGTTTTTTACTATTGGACATTTTCTCATTTGTTTAATATTTAACACTACACGTCATTGATGATGAAGGCATTCCACATATCTAAAAAACAAAAATATTTTTTACTTAGGAAATTCAAAATTAAAATCCAAAATAAACGTATTTTAATCATTGAATACAAAGTTAAATTAGTTTTTGTGGACACTGTTAAGTATAGTAATTAGCATTGTGGACTTAAATTGCACCTGTTTCGTGTGGTAAAACAATTATTTCTACAAATTTAATGCAATAAAGAATTTTATTTCAATGCACATTTTTCACATTTCTAATAAATTATTAAAAACTGTCTGAGAGCGAGACAACATCAACCAACCCACACTTTCCAATGGTTGAATTACACATTTTATGTTCAAACTTACTGGTGTATCCACAGCTCAGCTGGCATTAGCTTGGGAACAAGGCCTGTAAGGCAGGGCTCAGTAGTGGAGTATGTGCAGAGTAGTTTTACTTCTAAAAGCAAAAAAAAAAAATATAGGAATTTAGGGTTTTATTTTGGTATAAAATAGCAATAATATGTAAATTATCTTTTATTCTTTATATAAGTCTAATACTAACACCTCAGGAAAAGAAACCTACAATATTTATATTTGTACAGTTAAAGAAAAAGTTATTGACATTACACATTTGAAAAACACAGACCTTCTGGATCATTCTTGTGTTGTTTCATATACGGTACAATAATGCATCTTCATTTAAGGTCCCATTCTGACTAAGCCAAATGAAGTGTCTGAAATAAAGTAATTCTGACAGAATGGTTTTCAGTATGTCAAATATATTTTATACAGTAAATATTTGTATGAATTCAATTTAAAATACTGTTACATTAAAATATATAAAGAATATGAAATGTCCCACATAAATAGTTTTATCATTACCTACATGTACATGCATTGATAAATATAAATGATTATATATGTTATATTCAAATAACTTCTATGTTGTAAATGCAATTATTTTATACTTGTTAATAATAATTATCAATGTTTAGGGGTAATCTAATTTAATAAAAATAACAAGGTACACAACATACCTTCTAAACAGATGAGAATAAATTATAATGCATTTATGGCACGTACCATGTCAACATGGTGGTGCATTGGGGACTCTACAGCCACTTGTCAGATTAATTATCAGTATGAACAGCTATCCTCAATCATTGCCTGAAAACAAAAAAAAAAACATGTAAACCTTGACATGATATGTCTTCAAACCCATTCAGATTGTTAAAGAGGGCAAAAAAACAAAATTATCCGGATATTGTATGCATACCGACTACTACTCAAGTTTTTTAAGAAAATTAAACAGGGATCCTCTCAGAGAATGTCCATATTTTTACAAAAATGATTATTTATAATACATCATAGCTATAAACATTAATACTCAAATATTTTTACAAATTTGCAGCATTTCAACCGCTCAAAGCTTTTTGTTTATGTGAAGTTCTGGTGCATTTCTTTCTACATTAAAATCTGACATTTTATATTAATAAATTATAAGAAATTCTTTTGAGAATTAAAGATTAAATACTGGGCTTTTTAATGTTTCATACCTTCTGGGTACAATCTACTCTAAAAATCTGTGCAAATTCGTCGGTAAACTTCGTGTGTTCTTCAATGACATTGGAAACTTTCAGATGATTTCATGGCTTAATTATATCAAAGGGGAGTAACTGCGTAATTTGTGAATCTACCTTCCATCTATAAAAAATGGCTTTGACTTACTTTTATATTGAGACAATACTAAAAGAGAAATACAATGACAACATACATGTTTTGTAGTTATAATAAAACTCTTATATATATAGAAATAAATTATTATAATATACATCATGTATTATTCAGGTAATTTTCGGGTATTTTCAGGTAATTACCCGACTTATATTGAGAGTCCCTTAAATTCAATATTTCCTTTCATATCTGAACTTTATGTTTTTCTTTGTACTTGGTCAACATATATCTGTAAATAAATGTGAAAAAATATAGTATAAGAGGTAAAATAAGTTTCTGAGCCGAATTGGAAGCAGCCAGATGCAAAAAAGACACGTTTTTTACCCCCTTTTTGGCATTTTTTTAAGGCATTTTTTCAAAAAGTTACGCTTTTTATAGTGAAACTTTGCTATATATATCCGAAATTCTACGCGGTTCCGATCATTTTGATAAAAAAAATGAATTCAAACGGTGAAAAAAGAGTGTTGTATTTGTATTTTAAGCAAAAATGGTATTTTCTTTAATTTTTGGCGGCCATCTTGGCGGCCATCTTGAATTTGGACAATGTGGGAACCCTTGATTTTCTGGGAACATAGATTTTTTTCAAATTTAGACATTCAAGAACATAATAAGCCTGGTTTAAAAAAACCTTCCTGACATGCATCGTAGGCCTTCGTTCCTACTAAGCTAAATTTGGCCGAATTTTCAATTAAAATATATCAAAATGAGATTCGTCATCAACAAGCATCTATTATTGAGAGATAATAAATTATAAACCCCCTTCATCATTTCCGATACAGGACCTTATCTGTTTTAATGTTGGTTGAAACAGGTTTGTACCTTAAAGATTAAAGTGATAGCGTTTGTGTAGATGAGCTACGCAATTCGCGGGTCAGTGATTTCCCGCAAATATTACGAAAATTTTCAAACAATATTTTTTGTGTTTATTATTTATATCAGATACATAGGTAAATGTGTTGAGTACGTCTAAAATAATTATTTAGTGACGCAGTGGTCAAGTCAACTATAAGGGTGTAAAACAGTTATCATATTGTATTTATCATCTTTTAACGATACAAATACTAGTAAACAATCAAAGCACAGAAGGCGCTGAATTTGTTTGGGTCTCAGAATGTAAGAAAGGTGCAGGTTGTGAGATTATGTGTTTAGTGCCACCAATGCTTTCCAGCGTTTTAATTGTAGTAAATTGGCCATAAGACTAATTGCAACACTGATATTCAATTCAATGTTTATTTGACTTTAACAATTTAAAAAAATGAGTTGCCTTTACTGGGATTTGAACTCCAGACCTCTCGCTTCCTAAGCGAGCCCGAAAACCCTTCAGCCACGGTTAAATTTATATGTGAACGGCCTGAAGAAAACCATATTATTCTAAATTAGAGCTTGTTACGACTTTTAACTGTTGTTTAACACAGATGTAAATAATCCTGCTTACTATAAGCATGTATATTTATAAAGAATCAAAGGGCTGCAAGTTCTATGGTATTTTCTGATCTTTGCAATCTAAATCGTACTGTATATCTGTATGCATTTTCCTGTATAAGTTTATTTTTATGTATTATAATTCATTTTGTAAGGCACATACGGAATTCTGCATAACTAGAGTTGCATCAAAAAATCATTTATGTACTTTTTTTACGACAGCCACACTTTATCCTTGTAAATCATGGCTACTTCCTTAACAAAAACACTTAAAAAAAGAATTTAACAAAAAAAAAAATTCCTCGACTGGGATTCAAACTCGAAACCTCTCACTCACTAAGCGAGCGCGTTACCACTGTACCACGGAGAAGTTATACACAAATCTCTGAATAATATCAAGTCATTCTTAATTTAGAACTTCCATTGCATTCAGGTTTGTAATCCTTATTAATTTCGAGGTATTTTGTTCAGGGTAAACCTGTTGTTTAAAATTGAAGTAAATATTTTAGCGAAAATCCTCTCACCCAAACAGTCCGACATGTAGAATCTATATATTCCACTACTCGGTTTGTGTAGTATTCGGTAATCTACATGGCTAAAAATAGTATTTTCATTGATAAAATCATATTCATCCGCGTAATTTGTGATTGTGCATTTATTGACAATTCCATAAGCCAACGATATTGTTTAACTTTAAATGCGTTGTAATTTGTTGGATACTTGTAACAAAATAAAATATTTCTTTCTTTTAAATCGCTAGTTTTAAGCTGTTTTGAGAACTACTTGTTGTTAGGTTTGTCGTAAACTTCTGTGTCAGAGATTGAATGTCCGCTTTGTATTTAGTTATTTTCGATCAGAAAATACAATAAAACAATATTAGAAATCTTCGACCATTCGGGAATTACTTTGCTTGAAAATTGATGCGCCTGTCTTTGACCATCTTTACGCAGTGATCTCCCCTGAATTTTTCGGCTTTAGTGTACATACAAAAGGGAAGTAACCGCTTCAAAAAAGTGGACTACTTTCGGCATTTCCAATTAACAACATTAGACTCTGAAATTTCGCTACCATTATTTGTTTGGTCTGACGACCCAAACAAATAAAAACTACCAATTTGCCAACTGTCCACTTAACGCAGTAGGTAAGACTGTCATTTAAATTTCTAGTTGAATATCAATGCAAGGCAGGTTCGATTCGCAAAAATTATTGCTGTATGAAGAATTTTTAAATGTACTACGATTACCTAATATTTATAATTTGAATATATGGATCAATATATAACATTATTTTTTACTTTTCTGATAATGCTTTCTCCTGATGTGTGGCGTTTTCTCTAACTGTACACAAGTGCATATCAACCCGTGCCCAAAAAATATCTGATACATTTGTAACTATTTGAAACAAAACCGGTCAAATAAGAAAAAGATCCATTAGACAGCCAAATGTAATAGTACTTATATATATAACAATGATTCGACCATGAATATAACACTTAAATGGTCGCTCTGTCTACTGCGCTATCAAGGCACATAAAAATCTCACGTTTTACTTTGTGTTTAATTCATAAGGAATCAGCTTGCCTTACTTTTTTATGGAAAGCCATGGCTGTCTTATATTGCTCTTTTTCAATTTATTTAACCATTTGGACAATATATAAGTTCGCTTCGACTATATGAATTGAAAACACCTTCTTATTTAACCGGAATCCATTATATTAATCCACAGCTACAATATATGAAACCATACCGTCAGTGTATGAAACAGAGTTAGCAATATATAAGTTGATTTTCTCGATATATGATTCCAGTTTTTTCAATATATGGTACCAAAGTAGCCATGTATGGAATCAGATATCCTTATATGAAACCGAAATTTCAATATATTAATTCATTGTTCACTATATGTAACCAACTATAAATTTATAAAACCAAAGTAAGTTGGTTATCACATGATATGATAAATTGGATTCATATATTGAAAAATTAATTGATATATTGATAATACGGATTCATATAAGGATATCTGATTCCATACATGGCTACTTTGGTACCATATATTGAAGAACTGGAATCATATTGAGAAAATCAACTTATATATTGCTAACTCTGTTTCATACACTGACGGTATGGTTTCATATATTGTAACTGTGGATTAACATAATGGATTCCGGTTAAATAAGAAGGTGTTTTCAATTCATATATAGTCGAAGTGAACTTATATATTATCCAAATGGTTAAATAAATTGGAAAAGAACAATATAAGACAGCCATGGCTTTCCATATTTTTTTTCGCATTGTTCCCTGCGGTCTGGAGACCGCAGGGTATTGGTACGCGTTTAACTTTTGAGGCATGGAGGAGCACGTGACCTGTTTTCGGTACATGGAGGAGCATGTGATTTGTAAACCGTACATGATTGGTTAATTGACCTTTTCGAAATCCTAGCTAAATACCGATTGCCGGTACGTTACGGATTTATCTGTAGGGAATTAGTCCGAATTACCCCTAATTGGTCTCAACCCGGTACGGAATTAGACCGAACTCATTGTAGTCTAGAAAGTAGTTCTTTAAAATTATGAAATGGCCCAATTTAAGTCATCTCTAGTTAGATTGGTCATAATTAAAGTGTATTTATTGCATGTGTGTAGTTTTTGTGTGTTATATGATGACTTTAAAAGTTGTTTTTTTGTGTATTCTTCAGGAACTCATTTGTTGGTGGAAGGATTAAAGATGTACTACCCACCAGCTGTCAGGAGTTTTTAATGTGGTGAATTTAAACAGTGTTACAACAGAATGAAGATTTCTGAAAAAAGTAGATGGCTAACCTATTATATTTTGGGCATCATTTGACTTAGATAGTGTTAATGTTTAAAGTTGAAGACAGTATATAATTCATCAAGAACAGTGGAATCCAGAATTAAACCTCAAATTTGACTGATTTACTATAGAACTAATAGTACGAAAATTCACCGGGCCGAGTCCAAGATAAGAAATGTCAAAAATGGGAACTGGTTGATGGATATGGATGAAACTTTGCATCAGTGTTGTGTTTATGAATAGAAGTCAGGAAAATAAAGGATTACTGACAGGTTTGAAAATTTTAAATTTTATTTCAAATTTTAAAATTTGACATTTTAAATTGGGACATATGTTGTTGTTGTTATCTCCCCTTCAAATGTAGATGTCTGCTACTGTGTCAGTAAGCAGGGAGAAGGGGAAAGAGCTTTTGCATGAAAGATTAACCACATTTTATTGAATTAAAACTGTAAAAATAAATTTAGAATTAAAAAATGTAATTTAAATTTTGTAAAAAGCAGTTTATAAATTGATAAATTTTATTTTTGCACCCTATGTTAAGCAATATGCTATAAATCTAGCTGATTTTTATAAGATTTATATAGAAAATGATAATTTTTAGAGAAATGCATCTTAAATTATGGATAAATTATGCATTGAAGGAATTGGGGAGTGTGTGGTTTCAGATTGGTTACATTGGTAAAAAAGTGATTGGCAATCTCATTCCAGAGATCTCTAAGGGGCCCAAGATTCACCGGCCATGGGATTCGAACAAGCACCATAGTAGCCTATTGCTCATATGGACCACACATTATATGTTTTGATGTTTTAGCAAAGGATTGATGCTGTAGTGATCAGTATGTAAATATTCACTATTGTCCTGTATTTAAATGAAGAAGAACTAACAATTGAATAGGACAAATGTGATTTATATTTTGGAAATATAGGCATTTTCAGTGTAGTGAAACTTGATGTTTTGCTGTGTTGCAGAATGTATTTGCTAGTAATATATACACATAAAAGATTTTCTAGTCATTAAGCAGTGTATTTTATGGATAATTGGCTCATTTAGAATAACACAGTTGATATAATTGTTGTTGTTGTTGTTGTAGCTGCTACAGCAGTTAAATTAGGTTAGGTTTATAATGTCTAAACTGCTATTTTCATGCAGGCATGCATTTTTCAGAACACACACAATATTTATATAAGCTCTCCTGTGTGAATTAGCAAATCTAGCCATTTATTAATTAAGACATTATTTTCTTTCTTTTTCAGATATTAGAATTACAGCATAAATGCCCCTTATAATTTTCTTAAGCATGTACTAGTGTTGCATATTTTTTCAGACCATGCAGTTACCAAAGCCTGGGTTTGAGTATATGACCTTACCTTATCCTGGTAAAGATCTATAGAAGGACTCCTTCAGCTCTGTTTGGCAGCAGCTTTGTCAGGACACATTGAGAAGGTAATAACTTATGTCTAGTTTGAAACTTCAGCTATTGGCGGTAGCGCCTCCCAATGCTTGGGCAATATTTGGTAGTTATTTTGATGTATTTCAGGAGAAAATTTCTCTAATTCTGACTATATTAAGACTTCTCAATGATTTAAAGTGGGGGACAGTATGTGTCATCTTTTTAAAGCCTTATTTGTGTGAGAGTTGGCTAATCTTACTTTGTCAGAAGACATAGCCCATGGTGATATGGTAACCTCTTTGCTAACCTTAAGATTACCTCTGTTTGTTTTTATTGATATCTTAAGCAAACAATGTAGGATGTGTATGTTGGTTCTTTACTTTATTTACCATGGTATATAGGTAAAAATCATAATCAGTAAGTTTTATTACAATATTGAAGGAAAAAAATTTGAAAAAGCACATTTAATTGTGATTACTTGTATTTTAACCCAAAATTTCATGCTCTCATTTAAAGAAATTGAGTTTCTATTACAATTTTTAAGCAATAAGGTCTTATTCTTTCATAGAAGTAACTGTATCACATTAGCCGGTAACATTAAACTTTATTCAAAGAAAATCCATTTACAGAATCAAAAGATATGACAGAATTTGTAATATAAATTTTTGCGTAAAATTCTATTGGCCGAGCCTGACTTTTCGCATGAAGGTTCATATTTAAGAAATTGTACCGCATTAATGTAATTTGTTAGAGACATGTCAAACCTATATGACTGTATTTGTATAACACTAAATTACTAGGAAATGAGTATAAAGTTTGGCTTAACTTAAATTTTGGATTCATTTAGGTCTCAACCCGGTACGGAATTAGACCCAGCCCATTGTAGTCTAGAAAGTAGTTCTTTAAAATTATGAAATGGCCCAATTTAAGTCATCTCTAGTTAGATTGTTCATAATTAAAGTGTATTTATTGCATGTGTGTAGTTTTTGTGTGTTATATGATGACTTTAAAAGTTGTTTTTTGTGTATTCTCCAGGAACTCATTTGTTGGTGGAAGGATTAAAGATGTACTACCCACCAGCTGTCAGGAGTTTTTAAAGTGGTGAATTTAAACAGTGTTACAACAGAATGAAGATTTCTGAAAAAAGTAGATGGCTAACCTATTATATTTTGGGCATCATTTGACTTAGATAGTGTTAATGTTTAAAGTTGAAGACAGTATATAATTCATCAAGAACATTGGAATCCAGAATTAAACCTCAAATTTGACTGATTTACTATAGAACTAATAGTACGAAAATTCACCGGGCCGAGTCCAATTAAGAACAAAAAACTATTACGTGATATTTCTAATTTTCTATAATTATTTTACCGTTTAAGGTGGAAAAACTTGAATGATGTGTTTGAAAATTATCAATGTTTCTTTAATATCTATCTCAAATTTTACAAACAATTAATTGTTTATACTGAAAATCTACAAAATTAAAATATTCGTAGTGGCATCTGCCATAATAAATAGAAATATTTTCTGCGTAAACTTGTGTGTTTACTTTATTTATTTTTTGCTTGGAATTATTCATAAAATGGTAGGCCTATTTAATCATTTTCTTAAAAAGAAATAATTGTTTTATGTTCGACCTTCAGCGGTCTTCAACGGTCACCAGTTTCCAAAGACCTAGCTTCTCTATATTGATCGTTTATTCAATTGACAACTATATTCCTGATACAAACCTTAATTACCCCCACCCCCAAATAATGTTGAAAATAGTTAAATAAAATATCTTTATATCATTAAAATGTTCACCGCAGGAAACCATTTTACTTGTTATCAATCTTTGTTATGTAAACAAAGGTTAACCTCGAACTCGATAACGTTTACATTAACGGGCCATGCCATTATGATATAATGGGTTGTGCAAGTTATTCAGTTATTTCACTTTGCATTTTTATTGATATATAAAATGAAGGTGGATATGGATACGTACAACTGAGCAGCGTAGTGGTTAGAGAGTTCTGATTATGAGGAGAAAGTTGGATGATATATTCTATTATTCATTTAGTGTGAAGTGTCTTGCTCAAGAAAATAATAGAAAATAGCAAATGCAAAATTATAAATAATTACCTAATCTGTGTCGCAATTACAACGGTTAATATTAATAATACCTGTCATATATATATATATGTCAGATATTTTTTCTTGCATATTGTAAATATTCCATTATATTTTTAATTCCTTATCTTTAATTTCAACGCAAATTGATATCATTACAGCCGTAACTATTTTCTTACAACAGCGAATGAAATTACAACTTCATTCATAACGGAAAAATGACGTCATCCTAAGCGTGCCGTTGTACAGCATGCGACTCGTCTGGCACCCCCTCCCATGCCAGATGAAATTTCCGGCATGTGTAAAACACACGAAAACGCCTGTTTGCTATGCAACTCCATCATCTTCATAAATCATCGATCGGCTTAAACTATTTCGCAATACTTTTTGGCTCTTCTCCAATTTCAGGAGGTAGACTGGTACACTTGTCTCCGATCAATCGCAACTTTTTGGCCCTTTGATATTATTATAGATAATAGCCGAGGCAGTTCCGAATGTAGCTGAGGACGTTCCGATTGTTCCCCTAGATTGGAGGTGGACTGGTTCTCTGTCGAGTATGTCTCATGTGTCCTACTGGGCTATATTTTTACGAGTTTTTCACAAAGTTTACTGTACTTCACGCATCTTCATAATTATTTAGATGAAGATCAGCGCATCTTCATATATAAACGAAGAGGCGAAGATTGATTGCGAAATAGCATGAATAATAAAAGAAATGCATTTCGAAAGGGCCTATAGAAATTTTCTTACATAAAGTTTAAATTAAATTCCTTTAACGGCAAACATTCACGAATTCGAAAACCTAGGTTAACGCCGTTTTCCGGTACTTTCTTTACATAGCTGTGGGAAATTCCGTTAATGGAGTGTAATAACGAATTCTTCGTTTTTGGTCGTTATTGAATCAACAGATACTACTATGTAGGAAAATAATTAAATATCATTGTAAGAATAATTCCATACAAAAATAAAGTAAAATACGCAAGTTTAATCACAAAAAATCTCTCGTTATTTATTATGGAAGATGCCACTACGACTGTTTTAATTTCATTGAATTTCATAATAAAGAATTCAATTTTATAAAAATTTGCAATAGTTGTTGAGGGAACATTGATAATTTTCAATCACGTCAAGTTTTTTCACCTTACACGGCGAAATAATGATAGAAAAGTAAATGTTCCAGTGGTTTGTACTTCATTTGGTGAAATTCCCCGGAGGTAAACCCGTAACATACCGGAAAATGGTGTGACGAATAAGTCTATAAACTGAAGTCAAAGTGAAGGAATCACATATTCATATATGAAGCAATAACCTTTTAAATATCTTTAATAGATCCATGGAAACAACATGTATTTAATAAATAGGCGATGTAATTGCGTTGTTTTTTTGTTTTGTTTTTTCTTTCTTTCTCTTTTTTGCTGAAATCACGAGAGCCTGACCCGGTGCGTAGTTTGCGTAACGCACTTACGTGAGTACAATTTATCGAGGAAAATGAAAATAATATATAATATGATGTGAAATTATCAGCATAACAATTGTAGAGGCATACATATTTGATGTATAGTCAGGATGTGGCAACTATTGATCAAATGGGTATTTTTCTTAAGTTCAGATAATCTTTATGTTCATTAATGTGTTCGTTTAAACATATGCATTGTATATCTCTTTACATTTCAACACATTTTTATCTTTACAGACCTTAAATAAATATGCGTTGAACACTTTCAACTTCATTATAAACATATACATACAAACTTGCATATCATAAATAACTCACATGACGTCACTTATTGTCCAGAGACAGCGACATTATTAGCCGAGAAAATGTTCTAAGACTAAGACTACATCCTACTTTATTCGAAAACATGTTTAATCCCGCAAATTTCGAAGCGTCAGAATGAAAAATAAAATAAAGTTCAATATTTAAAAAAATAAAGATCGCGATACTGAAATGGTGGAATGGTCTAAGTATGTGCTACCGAGTCATTTCCGACGGTTTTCTTGTTTGTATTATCCTTAGTTTTCCTAGGCTGCTAGGCTGCTAGCTTCACAAATTTCGAAGTGTCAAAAAAAAAAAAGTTCAATATTTAAAAAAATAAAGTTCGCGATTCTGAAAAGAGACGTGGAATAGTCTAAGTATGTGCTACCGACTCATTTCCGACGGTTTTCATGTTTGTATTATCCTTTGTTTTCTTTAGGCTGTGCTAGGCTGCCAGGCTGCTAGGCTGCTAACTTCACAATTTTCGAAGCGTAAAAAAAAATCAATATTAAAAAAAATAAAGTTAGCGATACTGAAAAAAGACGTGGAATAGTCTAGATATGTGCTACCGACTCATTTCCGACGGTTTTCATGTTTTTATTATCCTTTGTTTTCTTTAGGCTGTTAGGCTGCAAGGCTGCTAACTTCACAATTTTCGAAGTTCAATATTTAAAAAAAAAATTCGCGATACTGCAAAAAAAAACGTGGAATAGTCTAAGTATTTGCTACCGTCTCATTTCCGACGGTTTTCATGTTTGTACTATCCTGCTAGGCTGCTAACTTCACAAATTTCGAAGCGTCAGAATGAAAAAAAATATGTTACGATAAAGTTCAACATCTTAAAAAATAAAGATCACGATATTGAAAAAGGCGTGGAATGATCTAAAGAAGTGCTACTAATGTATTTTCGAGGGCTTTCATGATTGTACTATTCTTAATTTTTTTAGGCTGCTAAGCTGCCAGGCTGCAAGGCTGCCAACTTCAGGCTGCTGGGCTGCTAGGTGGACCCGAAAAAAAAATATTTTAAAACTTCAAAGGACCATTCATATTTGTTACAGAAATTGTACACCATATATTATTAGCCTGCGTTCAAGTCTGTCATTCTTATGTGCTTCTGTTCGGCTGATCGATATTATTAAAAACATTTCAATAACTGTAAAAGTTTACAAGGTCACCAACTTCACAAAAATTATAAAATAAAGAAAAAAAATGACAAAATAAAATTTTTCTCTGAAAGTGATTTTTTCTTTATATGTATCCTTTAAATAACAACAATAATCTTTAAAACTTCATTAAATGCCGTTTTATTGTTGAAATAACATTTCTATAACATTAATTTTTTTGGCCGCCAGGCCGCCAGGCCTCTGGGCCGCCATCTTCACAAAAATGACAAAATAAAAAAAATTCTCTTAAAGTGATTTTTTCTTTTTATATATCCTTTAAATAACAATGATTATCTTTAAAACTTCATTAAATGCCGTTTTATTGTTAAAATAACATTTCCAGCACAATAAAATTTTTGGCTGCCAGGCCGCCAAGCCGCTGGGCCGCCAACTTCACAAAAATGACAAAATAAAAAAAAATTCTGAAAGTGATTTTTTCTTTTTATATATCTTTTAAATAACAATAAATATCTTTAAAACTTCATTAAATGCCGTTTTATTGTTAAAATAATATTTCTGTAACATTATTTTTTTGACCGCTAGGCCGCTGGGCCGCCAACTTCACAAAAATGACAAAATAAAAAAAATTCCCTGAAAGTGATTTTTTCTTTTTATATATCCTTTAAATAACAATAATTATCTTTAAAACTTCATCAAATGCCGTTTTATTGTTAAAATAATATTTCTGTAATAATATTTTTTTGGGCCGCTAGGCCGCCAGGCCGCTGGGCCGCCAACTTCACAAAAATGACAAAATAAAAAAATTCTCTTAAAGTGATTTTTTCGTTTTATATATCCTTTAAATAACAATAATTATCTTTAAAACTTCATTAAATGCCGTTTTATTGTTAAAATAACATTTCTATTTTAATTTTAACATTAATTTTTTTGGCCGCCAGGCCGCCAGGCCGCCAACTTCACGCCGCCAGGCCGTTATGAGATGTGTGAAGTTGGCGGCCTGGCGGCCTAGCGGCGTGAAGTTGGCGGCCTGGCGGCCAAAAATTTTAATGTTCTAGAAATGTTTTTTTTTTAACAATAAAACGGCATTTAATGAAGTTTTAAAGATAATTATTGTTATTTAAAAGATATATCTAAAGAAAAAATCACTTTCAGGTTTTTTTTAAATTTTGTCATTTTTGTGAAGTTGGCGGCCCAGCGGCCTGGCGGCCTGGCGGCCAAAAATTTTAATGTTGTTAAAATGTTTTTTTAACAATAAAACGGCATTTAATGAAGTTTTAAAGATAATTATTGTTATTTAAACGATATATCTAAACAAAAAAAATGACTTGCAGAGATTTTTTTAATTTTG